TAATTCACAGGGAGGCATCCTGTTCCCTGCACCGGGTTCTTTTGTTTAATAACCTACAGCTTTTGGGAGAATATTATTTATCTATGCAAGATATACCACTATTCACACTTAAATAAATAAATAAATAAGTAGATAAATAAATATATGTCTATGAGACCTGGGATTTGAGTACCTTACAGAGTAGGGTGAGCTACAGTCTAACATTGTAGACGGCCTTACTCCGGTTTCAGGGTACTTTTTATACAGGAATGTAACAAAAAAAGCAATCATCCAAGGAAGGCTGTTTGAGTTTCAAAAAACAGGATCCATATAACATGATCAGAAAAACGTCTACATAAATGTCAGTAAGCACGTACTAAATATGAACCGAGCAGCCCTTCCCCAGAACTTTCTCAGGCCAGGCCAGTTTAAACATCATTGCCTGGCGTATAGCATAGATTATATCTGGGAGGAAATGAAAGCAAGGCAGAGGCCATATGCAGATTCAGGGCACGCTGAGGACAGCACTCGGCAAATCCTTTCATCAGACCGGGTTCCATAGCTGTGTTCTGACACCCACAGGAATAAACATGTTACAGGAGGGCACACACTCATGTCCAAGAATGAATCAGGGAACAACAGGCACCTGAGCTAGGAGACCCTCTGCCTTTTCTTCCTGGAGTCTCTGCCGCATTGTTCACACGTCACTCTTGACTGTGTTCTAGCACAGTTTCCATGCGGCTTTTTTGTACATCTTTAGTTTTGGTTGGCCCTTCCCATGCTCCCTCCTCCCCTCTCACTGCACCTATCCCCTCTTTTTTTTTTTTTTTATTAATTACACTTTATTCATTTTGTATTCCCCCATAAGCCCCTCCCTCCTCCCCTCCCAGTCCCACCCTCCCCCCCTTTTTGCATGCATGCCCCTCCCCAAGTCCACTGATAGGGGAGGTTCTCCTCTCCTTTCTGATCTTAGTCTATCAGTTCTCATCAGAAGTGGCTGCATTGTCAGGGTTCTAGGTTACACCTATCCCCTCTTAATTCTTTCTACGTCCCATATTCCCTCATTACATATGTCCTACTGATACCCCAAGGCTTCTTTTTTTCTCCCCTCTTTTACGGTCTCTTTCTAGCTTCCTCTCTTCCAGACACTCCAAAGTAAATACACAAATGTAAAAAAATTGAGGTTAGGATTGCCATATGAGAAAGAACATGCAGCATAGGTCCTTCCGGGACTGGGCTACCTTGCTTAGCATAATAGCTTCCGAGTCTACCAAGTTTTCTGCAAAAATCATTTTTTTCTTTACAGCCAAGTAAAACTCCATTGCATTTGTGTGTCACAGGCTCATTAATCGTTCATCAGCTGATGGACGTCTAGACTGGTTCCTAGCTATTATGACTAGAGCAGAAAAGAACCTGAACATGCAAATATTCTCATAGTAGGTATTTGCTCAAGCATAGTAGATGTTTTCCTTAGTTCTGTGCTCAGGCATGCTATAGCTGGGTCACATGGTAATTCTGTTTATAGCTTTCCAAGAAGCCCCCACATTGATTTAGTGGTTTTACCAGTTTACATCCCCACCAACGCTGAGAGTGTAAACGCAACCACACTCTCATCAGTAATTGTTGGCGTTTGTTTTCCTTATTACACATTCCTTATTATACATTATACTGGAATTAAATGGAATTTCAAAATTAACTTCCAATTCCCTGGTAGCTAAGGATATTGAACACCTTTAACAATATTTATTAGCCGTTTTTATGTTTACTTTTGAGAACTCTTTTCTCAGTTCCATACCCAGTTTTACAATTCGTTCCCCGCTTGGTGTTTAGTCTTTTGAGTTCCTTGTATGTTTTATAAGTTAATCCTCTGTCAGATGCGTAGATGATGATTTTTCCCACTCTATAGGCTGTCTCTTCACGTGATAGTTTCTTTTGCTGTACAGGAGCATTTTACTTTGATGAGGTTCTATTCATTGATTGTTGGTTTTATTTCCTGAGTAACTGAAGTCCTGTTCTGAAAGTCTTTATTTTCCTTGTACATTGACATGCACTTCCTACATTTTCCTCTAGGAGTTACAGAGCTTCAGGCCTTGTGTCAAGGTCTTTTTTTAAATTTTATTTTTATCTGGAGTTGATGGAGTGGGGCAGGGTGAAAGGTAAAGATCAAGTTTCATTCTTCTACATGTTGAAATCCAGTTTTCACAGCTCCATTTGTTAGAGTTGTTTCTTTTATTTTGTTTGTTTTGTTTTTTTCTTCTTGAATGTGTACATTTAGTATCCTTGTCAAAAATCATGTAATCATAGTGTAGGCGTTTATGTTGGTTCATTATTCTATGCCGTTGACTTATGTGTCTGTTTTTGTGCCAGCACCATGCTGTTTTTGTTCCTATAGCTCTGTAATACAGCTTGAAATCAGATGTGGTGATGATACTTCTAGCAGTATTGTTTTTGTTGAACATTTCTTCAGCAATCTGGGGTATTTTGTGCTTACATATGAATCTTAGGATTTCAACAACACTTTTTTTTTGTTAAAAAAATTTAAAGAACATTTTTGATATTGTGATATAATTACATCATTCCACTTTTTTTCTCTCTACCCCCCTTTGCTAGCTTCTTTTTTCTTTAATTGTTGACACACACACACACATTTTCTCATTAAAGGGGTCATCCTTGTCTCCAATTGAGCTAAAGCTTTACTATTACATGTAGATGGACACAGTAATAAAAAGAGAAAAAAATGTTGGGCAAATATTTTGTTTAATTCTATAAAGAAGGAGACTTGATCTCATTAGCAACCACCTAAGTACTCACAAGCCCTGACATTTTTGGGAGTGTAGAGAGGTCACCGCACCGCTGTGGCCTCTACCTGGCATTCCAGCACGAGGCACACTGCGCTGACAATCTCTGCTTCTTCCCCCTTGCTTGCCTGTGATTATTTGAGGTGCTGAATGCAGCCTCTACAGTTCGGTTTTTATGTGTCAGAAAGCCTTTTTCCTGTATTCCTTTCTTCCTTTCATAGCTCAGGCTGCTCTGGAACTCATTATGTAGACCAGACTGGCCTTGAACTCACAGAGATCTGCCTGTCTCTCCCTCCCAAGCTCTGGAATCAAAGATGTGCTGCACCATGTCTCATTGTTATCCTTTTTCATTAATACTTGTCTCCCAACTTTCACTTGTCCAAGTTTCTAACACTGGAACGTCTTCCACCCTGCCTAGGCCCTGTTTTCCTAATGCATTCTTTAGCTAAATACATCCTGATTATGCTTAGGATTTAAATTATTATATTGTTTGTTTTAATATTTCTCTTCCATTGCTTTTGTATCATCTCCTGCCTATGTTGGATGTTCAGATCTTATTTCTTCATCAGTGTTAATTATTATATGTTAGTTATTAGTCCTTTCTAGTGACTTTGTCTTGTGGAGTAACAGCCCTATGAGAGACTTGAGGAGAAGCTGTTAATGCGACCGGCCCTTAGCTCTGTGGTTAGCGGGCAAGCTGAAAGCCCGTCCAGGTGTCCATCCTCCCTCACAGCCTAGTTCTAGGCATGTTATGGTTAGGGTCCGAAGGGCAGTTTCCACACGTTGGGACTAAGTACACACAAAAGAGAAAACAAACAAAATGAAAAACAGATTCAGTGATCAAAGACAGCACCACCAGCATGACCTAGTACCAACTATTGATCTTACCTTCTGTCACTGACCAGCCATTGTCTCCTTTCCCTAGCTGATCTTCATTTGCCTTGGCTTCCCATCTCGGCTGAACAGTCCTTAGATACTCAAGTCAGAAACTCATATACAGAATTTCTCATCGTTTCACACTGAGCTAATTCCTGAGCTCAACTGTCTGTACTTCCCAAACATCTCTCAGATTTGTTCACCTTCTTGAGTAAACTGGCCACTCTCACCGGCTGCTTAGATGATCATGTAATTTTCTCTCTCTATTCTGTAGTGTCCAGTTCTGTTTCTCCTTAGTCTTTCTCGTCACCATAGACAGAACAAATCTTAAAAAATAGAAAAAGGGCTTTTTTTTTGTGGGGTAGAATTCCTCTAAAGACCCTTGGAGAACACCTGAAGTTTGTAAGTTCTGTTACAATTGGCTGGTGTTTTATTCCTTACCAGGTGAATCTCACAGGTGACTGACTTCATCATGTCGTCGATTCCCTTTCCTTCAATCCACATTCTAGGTTATTCACTTTGTGAAACTTCAAGAAAACTGAGTCTAACAGGACCACGGATATTCTCTGAAACACACACAGTTTTTGATAGTCCTTTTTGAAATGCCCTTCTTTTGACATCATCTGAATCTCACACAAGCTGTGAAACTATTACATGAGGATTTCCATGGGCCCTTCATCTATCGTTTATTCACAGGTTCTGATCTGTGAAATGTAGGGCAAATATCAAGACTACAAAACAGATTGGGACAATAAAATAATAAGATATAGATGTTTGGGGGGGTTAATGATTTATGTGTCTCTTGTTCTTGGTGTGATTCCTATGAAACTTAAAAAAAATCATAGATTTATGTCACAACCACAAAATAAAATCTTCTGGTTGGACACCTTTAAACTTATAGCATCCTGAGATCTATGCCAACCACTACTTCCTTCTCTGTGGATTTAATTTAACCACTTCGTAGAATAACACAGTTTGTAAACATTTGAAATTGAGCTGCTTTTATTTAACATAGACCTATGATATTTATGCTTCATTGCACAAATAAGTAATTTATCCTATTTTTTCCCCTCAGGATTTTCCATTATATGACAGATCAGATTATCATTCACAGATGAAGAAATTTTTCTTTTTTCTTTTTGTAATTTGGGCTACAAAACTGAAGTTTCCAAATATATGATACAGAGAATATTACTTTGCCTCAAAAAAGAATGAAGTCAAGTAACAGATGAAATTGGAAGACACTATCCTAAAAATAACGAACCAGACACCATACAATAATTATTGCAAGATTCCAACAAGGTGCTCCATCTAAGATATTTAACTTCTTGGAGACAGGAAGTAGAACAGCAGTTACCAGAGATGGTAAGGAGGTGAGAGTTGAGTAGCTACTGTTTAATGTGTAGAATTTCAGTTTGGGATGATGAAGTATTGTTGGAGATGGTTATGGTGACCTTGTAACAACATAAATGTTCTTACTGACTTACATATTTAATAATGGTCAAAATGGGATGTTATATACATTTTACGACAACAAAAATGGCTATGACCCAGTGCACTGTAATCAATACAATCAAACACAGCCTAGGGTAAGAGGACTGGGTAGAACCAGTTTAGAAAAGGTCACAGTGAGTTTCTGTGAGACTAGAATCTTTGACTAGACGAGAAAGAGCTTTATAGTGTATGCAAGTGCATACATATGTGAGTGTGCAGAGAGCACATGTATGAGTTCGTGTGTATTTCTGTGTTGGAAGCAAGAAGATTGATACGACTAACCCCTTGAGCCTACTTTTCATGGCAAGTCAAGTCCTGAAAATTAGCCAAATGGATGTCAGTTAGAGGGGAGCTAGTGCTGTAGGAAGGTGGACAGCCAAGTTGCACTCGTTGGAGGCCTCTGGGGAATGCTCCTGAGGAGCGTATACTACAGTCCCAACGACAGTTGCTTATTAATCTGGGGTTGAAGGTCAACTTGGATTGTCTTTTTTTAAAAAGTCAGGTTCAGCTCCACCCTCACTCTGAGGCATTTTGTCGAGAGTTCCAGGTTGAAGGAAAGCTTCCTTGCTGCTGAATCCTTGCTGTGCCAAAGCCCTGGAAGTCATTTCTGGTGAGTGGATTTGGGTTCCTATATCTAAAGTCTAGGGATGTGGTCAGTCTCTGGAGGCCTGAGGTGGGAGGCATTCAGGTAGAAATCATGTTGGTGGCAGCACTAATTCTGCTCGCCTGGACGCGTTGGAGTTTTCTCAACTGCTTGTTTGCAAAGATGACTTTACAGAAAGTGTCGTGGGACCTAAGATCTTTAGGGCTCAGCTGCTATGGTTTCCTGCGAGGAGCAGCCGGAAGAAAGTCTTAAGGGACAGAGGAAGTGTTGAGAGAGGGGTTCAAGGCAGGATGTCCACTTGTCAGCAGTATTGGCATGCAGAAGCTAGAATGTAGAGAGGAATCTATTAGAGAGAAATTGACAGAGAAATGGAGTTCTCCAGCAATCCTGCCTTGCTTTGTGGAAATGAAAGACCAAGAAATTCACTCAAACCTTCAGGTGTTAGTGAGTTGGCAATGAGAAGCATCTCGCTCTCGTTGCCATGAGAGAAACATCCACAACCTGTCTGCCATGATACTAGAGACCTGGACACTGGTGGCCTCCTTCAGAAGGGCCTTCACTGAATGCATGCTGTTGTGCCTATTTTTGTTAAAATAGTAACTACACAGTATCATAAGGAATGCTTAATTTTCAAAACACCCAATCTGGACACTATCTGTCCCCAAGTTATAGGACAGAGGCAAAGTTGTGGTTACCTGCTGATTAACTGAACAGGATGAGATAATTTTTCATGATTTTTCCCACACCAGGGTGAGGACCATGTCCCTGTTTTCATCTTCCCTTCTCCTGTGTCTGGTAACAGCATCTTATGCAGAGACCGTAACTGAGGGTGCCCCAAGCACCTGCCCTGTGATTGCCTGTAGTTCTCCAGGCCTGAATGGCTTACCCGGCAGAGATGGACATGACGGTGCCAAGGGAGAAAAGGGAGAACCAGGTGTGCAGTAAGCTGTTTTCTTTGCTCTTAAAAAATTTAGTTTTAAAAGTGTATGTGCATGCTCGTGCGCACTTGAGGGTAGGTCACCTTGGAGATGGAAAACATAGTATCCTCCTGGAGCTGCAGTTACCGGGAGTTGTGAGCTCCCCGGACGGGTGCTGGGAACGGAACTCAGGACCTCTGCAGTAGCAGCACATGCGCTTGGCCCCTGAGCCATCTCTGCAGCCCCTTTCTCTGACTCCCCATTCCAGAGGAGACTGATTAGGGATACAAGGAGAGGAAGGTTTGATTAGGCTTGTTGTACTTTGATCAGCAACATGCTGTAGCACGCCTCAGGTCTCTGGCATCTTGGGCTCCCACCTGCAAGTGTGTGATGTTTGTGTTGCCTGGAAAGCGGACCTCATGTTGGTCTGTGTCAAGGAACACAGGGGACTTATCTCATCACAGGGGCTTAAGCTTTGGAAAAAGAGGAAAAACACAAACATTGACCAACGTTTTGTTTGTCTTCCAACAGGTCAAGGGATCAGAGGCTTGCAAGGCCCTCCTGGAAAGGTAGGGCCTGCAGGACCCCAAGGGCTTCCAGGGTCAAAAGGAGCTGTGGGGCAGAAAGGAGACCGTGGAGAGAGAGTAGGTAAGACGATCGTTTCAGAACGTGTGTGCTCCCCCCATCAAAGAGCCAGCCACTGAGTTCATGTCAGAGATAGCCCTTGCTCCCCTTACTAGGGAGCCCATGTGGACACTGAGCTGCCATGGACTACAACTGTGCAGGGGTTCTAAGTTATCTCCATGCATGGTGCTTGTTTAGAGTATCAGTCTCAGAAAAGACCCTGTGTCCAGATTTTTTGGTTCTGTTGCCAAAAATCTGACCCTGTGCCCAGATTTTTTGGTCCTGATGGAGCTCTTGTCCCCTCCAGGTCTTTCTATCTCCCCCTTCTTTCATAAGATTCCCTGCACTATGCCCAAAGTTTGGCTAAGAGTCTCAGCATACGTTTTGATACCCTGCTGAGTAGAGGCTTTCAGAGTCCCTCTGTGGTAGGCTCCTGTCCTGTTCCCTGTTTTCTCCCTCTTCTAATGTCCATCCTGTTTGCCTTTCTGAGTGAAGATTGAGCATCTTACCCAAGGTCCTCCTTCTTCATTAGCTTACTTAGGTATACAGATTTTAGTATGATTATTCTATATTATATGTCTAATATTCACTTATAAGTAAGTATATACCATGTGTGTCTTTCTGCTTCTGGGATACCTCACTCAGCATGATCTTTTCTAGATTCCAAATCAAGTAACCCAATTCAAAAATGAGGTATAGAGCTAAACAGAATTCTCAATAGAGGATACTTGAATGGCAGAGAAACACTTAAAGAAATGTTCAACATCCTTAGTCATCAGGGAAATGCAAACCGAAAGGATCCTGAGATTTCACCTTACACCCATCAGAATGGCTGAGATAAAAAACTCAAGTTATAACACATGCTGGAGAGGATGTGGAGAAGGAGGAACCCTACTCCATTACTGGTGGGAATGCAAACTTGTACAACTACTTTGGAAATCAATCTGGCTCTTTTTCAGACAATTAAGAATAGTGCTACCTCAAGATCCAGCTATACCATTCCTAGGCATATATCCAAAAGATGCTCAAGTACACAATAAGGAAATTTACTCAGCCATTTTCGTAGCAGCTTTATTCGTAATATCCAGAATCTGGAAACACCCCAAATGTTCCTCAGTTTAGGAATGGATACAGAAATTGTGGTACATTTACACAATAGAATACTACTCAGCAATTAAAAACAAGGAAATCATGAAATTGCTGGCAGAACTACTTTTTATATGCCTTGTAATTCTAAGTGAGAGGTCAAGTCTTTTTATTATTTATTTATTATTATTATTTTCAAGAAAAACTAGCTCCTAGTTGCCTGTTTTAGATAAACTGTCAGGAAAAGATTAGTGTTTTATTTAGGCCAGGTGAAAAACATAATTTTTTTTCTTTTAAAGTCTATTAATGTTAAAAACAAAAAGCAAACCAAGATTCTTTTTTATCGGAAAAAAGATACCACACTCCCTAATACGCACAGTTTGAGTCCTTCGTCCTAACATTACCTTTCACTGCTTAATTTTACAGAATATGATTCTAGCCAAATTGATTCAGAAATCGAAGCCCTGAAATCAGAGTTGGGACGCTTACGAAACTGTAAGTACCCTCGCTTACTCTTCAGGCAGCTTAAACTTTGGAAGTGGTGGAAAGCAGAATATTACTAGCATGTGATTTCCTAGGACCTGAAAAAAAATGCTCACGTTCTGATCCCCTGGTCTCACCCCAACAGTCGCTTGGTAGAAACCGAGGAGATTGGGAATTAAACTATTTGTACCCAGATTCCCATAGCGCAGTGGTAGAAGCAGTTTATAAGCCGCAGAGGGTCTGACATGAGGACCCCAGTTCTGCAGAGTCAGGTCTTGCTCACTTAAAATGGACTGTGGGCCACTTTTCTTTTATTTTTATTTTTATTTTTATTTTTTAAATATTAATCACAGGTTATTTACTTTTAATCCCAGCCGTAGCCCCCTCCCTCATTCCCTCCCAATCCCACCCTCTCTTCCCTCATCTCCTCCCTGTCCATTTTCAAGTCCCCTACTACGGGAGTTCCTCCTCCCCTTCTGTCTGACCCTAGCTTATCAGGTATCTTCAGGACTGGCTGCAATGTCCTCCTCTGTGGCTTAGCAAGGCTGCTCCTACCTCGGCGGGAGGGGGCAGGGGGGAGGTAAAGGAGTCAGTCATTGAGTTCATGTCAGAAATACTCCCTGTTCCCCTTACTAGGGAAACTCACTTGGATACTGAGCTGCCATGGGCTACATCCAAGCAGGGGTTTTAGGTTATATCCATACATGGTCCTTGGTTGGAGAAACAGTCTCATAGAGGACCCCCATGCCCTGATATATTTTGTCCTAGTGGAGCTCCTGTCCTCTTCCGGTCATACTGACTCCCCCTTTTATCATATGATTCCCTGCACTCTGCCAAAGGTTTGGTATGAGTCTCAGCATCTGCTTTGATAAGCTGCTAGGTAGAGTCTTTCAAAGGCTGTGGGCCACTTTTCTAATCCTGGTATCTAGACCAGGAGAAGGAGCCAATCATGTTTCTTCCAGCTGTGTCCAGATATTCCCCGACATTTTTGTTTATTTGTGAGTTAACAGAATGGTAGAATTCAGAATTCCAGATAGCATGTGCTATATACAGTACAGATCTAAACATACAAAGGCTTTGTACCTGGTATATATATTAAGACTACAAGGAAAAAAGCAGGATAACAGTCAAATTTTAGGTAAGAGAAGCATGTTTTGATTTGTGTCAGCATGTCACAAGGGGTCTCTTGAATAAAGACACTCAGAGAAAATGGAGTAGATACGTAGTTCAATTTGAATTTGACATGAGTGGCCTAGAGGATAAGAGGATAAGCCGATGTCACCCACCTTTTTACATTTTAGGGCTGGTCTTCGCTCTGGTTGAACGTGTTGGGAAGAAGTACTTCATGAGCAGTCGTAAAAAGATGAGCTTTGACAGAGCGAAGGCTCTGTGCTCCCAACTCCAGGGCTCTATGGCCACCCCTAGGAACGACGAGGAAAACAAGGCCATCCAGAACGTGGCCAGAGCTGAAGCCTTCTTGGGCATAACAGATATGGAGAGGGAAGACAATTTTGTGGATCTGAAGGGAAACAGGGTGCATTACACTAACTGGAATGATGGTGAGCCCAACAATGTAAATGGCGCTGAAGACTGTGTGGTGCTCTTGTTAAATGGCAAGTGGAATGACATCTCTTGCAGAGAGTCCTTTTTGGCAGTCTGTGAATTCTCTGACTGAGGGTGTTTGTTTGGCAGCCCTCCTCGATGCTGTGCTGCTCTCCATAAGTCCACAATTTGTTCTGAAGTATAAGATATGTGGAAACACAAACAATTAAACATTAGCTATGCAATTAAACTACAACACTTTTTGGAATAGTAGTTTCTTGTGAAGGTGTAGAAATAAAAATGAGTTTATCTTTCATTTGTGACGAATGCTTGTGCTCTGCTGAGTGCTCTTTTCTCTTCGGGTAATGACGTCACCCTAGTTAATTCCATATTTTCTCAGCCTACTTTCAGGTATTTAATGGGACATTAAACTATGTACAGAATGTAATTCTCAATTGAGCAGATCAATGAATTCTTACACACACACACACACACACACATATGAAATTATCTATCTATCTATCTATCTATCTATCTATCTATCTATCTATCATCTGTCTATCATCTATCTATCTGTCTGTCTAATAACCATCTTGAATGTAGAGGCACAGAACATTTCTCTGACACAAGAAACCCCTTAATTACTTCTCCTGGTCACTGTTCTCAAAGATAAGTATGATTTTGACCTGTATCATAACAAAATTATTTTATCTGTTTATAAACACAGAATCATACTGTATGCACTGTTTGATGGCTTATGTTTAGTTCTTTCATAATTAAGCATGTGATATTCATTCATGTTGCTACAGAGAGTGGTAGTTTATTTCTCTCGTTGCAATAAGGATATTAAAGCATCATAGTTTATGTTTTTATTGTTAATGGACACAACTGAATGGCCTATAATTTTTGGTCATTAAGGAAAACAACTCCAGGGGTTGGAGAGAGGGCTCCACTGTTAGGAGCTGGTGTTGCTCTTGCAGTGGACCTGAGTTAAGTTTCCAGCCCTGACATCAGGCAGCTCATGGCCACAGGGGGCTGACACCCTGTTTCAAATTCCACGAGACTCGCACTCACACATACAAACTCACACAATTTATACACATAGTTAGAAAGAGTAAAAATAAATCCTAAAGAAGGGAGCCCTCATGACCCTTCTTCTGGTAGATTTGTGCACTACTTTGTGGCTGGTTGGTGGTGGTGGTGGGGAAGCAGGCAGTTAGATTCGATGAAAATGAACCACGTTCTGTCCACAGAGTGCGTTGGGTGTGAACATTCTATAGCTCAGGGAAGAGATTGCACTACAGCTCTTTTGATTTTGGTCATTCTTCTGGGTAAAAAGCAATATTACCCTGTGTTTTCTTCTTCTTCTTCCTCTTCTTCTACTTGTTCCTCTTCTATGTCTCCAGTGAATTATAACAACGAGAACAGTCCACATGGTAATTGTAATCTAAACATCTTTTGTGCTCTACCTGTTTGAAGCTTTTGTATTTGGTTTAAATCAGTTTGTGCTTCTCACATTGACTTATAGGTATTTTTTTTTTTTTCATTCAGAGCACAAATCCCTTCTGTTTATGTGTATCATGGGCACCCTTTCAGGTTTTTACTTATCCTGCGACTGATTTCCGATGAATATAAGAGATTAATATAAAAACTTTAAAAAATGTTCTGATGTACACCACGTGACTGCTGGTGATGAAGGAGGCCAGAAGACCTTAAACGGTCACCAGGAACTGGAGCTGCAGATGGTTGTGAGCTGTCGTGTAAGTGCTGGGAATTGAGTGCTGGCCTCCTCACAGAGCACTGGGTGTCCCTAGGCACCGCTCTCCAACACCAGGAAGGTAGGATTGTCTTTAACCTTTAAGATTATAATATAATTTCACAATCCCCCCCCCCGCCCCTCAGAGCCTGCCACCTACCCCTCCCTACCTTAATTTTCGAGCAAGCCTCACTTGTTACTATTTTCTGAGCTTAGCTCTTTGTGAAAGTTGACTGTTGCCTGCTGTGACGATACCTTCCCCTGTTTCTTTCTAGAGCACTATTGTTAAACTTTCTGCCTATCCCTAACCCATATCCATGTGGTGACACATCGTCTACTGGAAAAGAGTTTTCTACATCGAAACTAAAATGGTACCTTTTTGCAAATTAGGTGTGTGTGTGTGTGGACTGGTCTTTGGACTGTGTAGGTTTACTGTTGCTTTGTTTGTGGATGACTGTGGCAATATAAGCCTTTCAGCTTTTTTTTTTTTTAAAGCTACATGGTATCAAAATAAATGATTGAACTGTCTTTTCAATTTCCATCAAAATCTGATGTTTTCTTGCTGAGACTCAGACATCAACCAAGGACCACGTATGAACTGGGACCCCTCTTTGTAAGGGGAAGCCCCAAACTATGTCTCCTAAACTAGTATTTTAACTTCATTCTGTCCTTCCAGGTCAGAGGTCATTTTTACCATGGTCAATATTTCTCAGTAACATAGTGGACATTGTACTTTTATCAGAATTCTAGGCAAAGGGAAATAGAAAGTTAATCCAAAGTCAAGTTCAGCGGTGGGATAAGGAGTTTTATAACTGTTGCCTGTGCGGTAGCAGTTCTCAAGCGCTACAGGAAAAACAAAAACAAAAACAAAAACAAACAAAAACAAACCCATGAAGATCATAAGCTTAAAACAAATGAAAAGTGACATATGGTATAAAATAAACCCATTCCTAACCTTTCTCTAAAGTTGTGGCTCCACCTGACTGTTAGGATTGTAATAAAGATGGGTGCTGGTGGGCGTTTGTGCCACATTCTTGCTTAGTAGTTAAATGAGCTTAGTTACTGTTTAGCTGGGGACTCACTGGGAGGGACAGACTTTCTTGCATAGACACCTGTGCAGCAGTTTTCTTCTCTCAGTATTTAGCTCACTCTGTGCTGGAGCCAGATTCCAATAGCTTATAGACTTCCTAGGCCATGCAATCCTTGAACCCTTTGTCTTGTAACCGTCCCTCACTGTTTCACTGTTTTTTTGTTTTGTTTTTTTTTGTTTTGTTTTTTATAGCTTCACTTCTCTTCTGCACACTTTATTTCTCCTCCTCTCCCCACTTCCTCTTCCTCCTCTGTCTCCTTTTTATTGGGTCTTGGGGTGGGTGGGGTTTAAAGACAGAGTTTCATTGTGTGTCTCTGGCTAGTCTTAAACTCACTATGTATGCCACGCTGGCCTCAAGATTAATTGTTATAATCATTATTTTCAACCTATAATTCATTTTTTTTTTGAGGGTGCCGTGAACTTTACTGATGGTGTTCAAGAGAGTAGGGCTCCCTGGGCCCCTCCCGCTATTCTAGGGGTCTGGGATGGAAACTGTGAGGGAGATGGCCAGTGTCAGGGGCTGAGTTGGGACAGAGACTCCTCAGCAGTCGAGGGCCTCTCTCTGGCTCTCCTGTCCTTGCTGGGGTGGGTGGTCCAGGGCTTCTTACTTCTTGGAGGCCATGTAGGCCATGAGGTCCACCACCCTGTTGCTGTAGCGTAGCCACATTCATTGTCATACCAGGAAATGAGCTTTACAAAGTTGTCACTGAGGGCAATGCCAGCCCCAGCATCAAAGGTGGAAGAGTGGCAGTCACTGCTGAAGTCACAGGAGATGACCTGTGTAGCCCAGGATGCCCATTAGTAAGCCCTCGGAAGCCTGCTTCACTACCTTCTTGATGTCATCATACTTGGCAGGTTTCTTCAGTCGGCATGTCAGATCCATGACAGACACGTTGGGGTAGGAAGTCCATGCCAGTGAGCTTCCCATTCAGCTCTGGGATGACCTTGCCCATAGCTTAAGCAGCACCAGTTGATGCACAGACGATGTTCTGGGCAGCCCCATGGCCACAGCTTTCCAGAGGGGCCATTCACAGTCTTCTGGGTAGCAGTGATGGCATGGACTGTGGTCATGAGTCCTTCCACGATGCCGAAGTTGTCATGGATGATCCTAGCCAGGGGGGGTAAGCAGTTGGTGGTTCAGGAAGCATTGCTGACAATCTTGAGTGAGTTGTCTTACTTCTCCTGGTTCATGCCCATCATAAACATGGGGGCATCGGAGGAAGGGACAGAGATGATAACCCTTCAGGCTCCATCCTTCAAGTGGGCTCCTGCCTTATCCATGGTTGTGAAGACACCAGTAGACTCCACAACATACTCGGCAACAGCATCACCCCATTTGATGCTAGTGGGATCTCGCTCCTGGAAGGTGGTGATCGGCTTCCCGTTGATGAAGAGCTTCTTGTTCTAAGCCTTGTGCTGTTGAACTTTCCATGAGTAGAGTCATACTGCAGTTGAGGTCGATGAAGGGGTCATTGATGGCAACAATCTCCACCTTGCCAGATGAGCAGGCTGGTAACCAGCCATCTCATAACCAGCCACTCCCACCTTCACACATCGTGTCTAAGGGCACTGCATGAAGAGACGTCTCTGGAATAGGGAGGAGCTGAGAGCCCCTATAATTCTTTTGACATTCCCTTCCTTTAAAACACGGAGTAGGAAAAGCCTCAGTCATGTTTACATTCTACTCTCTATCTACTTCTTGCTTGAGCTTGGGGAACTGACTGTGGCTAAAGACAAGTATATCACCTTGCTAATACTCCCTGTCATCCATGACCTTTAGGACCAAAGAACCCTAAGTGCATCCAGCCATTAACCCAGAATCATTTCTTCTTCATCCACACTCTCATGCTTCCAGACACATACAGAAACCCAACCCACTTGCTATGCTTTTCACCCTTTCTTCTTTACCTTCTGTACCGTTAGGTGTGGGGAGACAAGGTCTTTCTGTATGGTCCTGGATGTTTAGGAATTTGTTATGTAGATCAAGTGGGCCCAGACCTTGTGACTTAGTATTCATTCACCTTCATTTCCTTTCAAAGTCTTTGTGCCTGGATAGTCACCACCATCGTTTCTGCTGTACCTAGGGTGGTTGTTTCCCAAAGGTCCTTATGTAAGGGCTTGGCCCCAGCTTGACAGTGTCAGGAGGTTCTTTGGATGTTGCAACCTCATCAGAGGCCCAGGTCATTATGTTATTATGGTATTATGATATCAGCCTTGATGTCATGATACCATTATGATGAAATAACATTATGATGTCATAATACCATTATGATGAAATAATATCATTATGATATTATAATACCATTTTGATGTTATAATACCATTTTGATGTTGTAATACCATTATGATATCTTAAGACCATTATGATGTCATAAGACCATTATGATGCCATAGAATCCATTATGAGTCATAATACCATTATTATGACGAAATAATGCTATTGTGATGCCATAATGCCATTATGATGTCATAATGCCATTA